GGAAGGGCATCCTGGAGAGCATGTAATCATGTTGTATCTACCATAGGGGAAGAAGGCAGTCATTTCTAATAATAGTGTTCGAGCCCAAATACATTTTGTGTTTGTAGTATATTGACGAGGCGGACGCGGAGGTGGCGTTAGTTCACTTTATTCGGTCATGATACCTGCTGTCGTTACTGCGCATGCACACTACAACACTTAGAAAAGGGCCGTGTTCACTGAGGTCCAAAAAGCTTATTACAACCATATAAAATGATTATGGTCAATATACCATAGTGTTATTGTGGTTATACAAATGTAATTTATGATGCTGCTGTTAGAAACAAAAAATAAGTTGATTTCGAATTTGAATGTCAACGTTTTGATGAATCTTTGAACTCTTCGGTACAGGGTTAGAAGATGTTGCTGTGCCGTTTACATCAAGAGGATACGGAAAGATATTCCATTTATCCTCTGGCTGTTTCATGCAACTGCATCTTCTGCATCTTCTGACACATTCAAGTGTCACAAACGCACTCCGACATGGTGGAAACATTAAACACTCCCCACCACACCAGCCCTGCAGCCACCTAAAGGACTTCCACAGCAAGTCTCTGTATGCTTGTTGTAGGCACTCAGCTGAAACTTGTTATTGCATAGTGCAGCGTGTGGCCCAGATACCTGCACCTGCATTTGTTGTCTTACCTCTGAGGGTGTCAGGAAGTGGAAGTGCTATACGTATCTGGGCCTCGCTCTCCTCAGAGAGCCACGCGGGCACTTTTTTTTCTGATGACTGCGACATAGATATTGCTTAGAATACACTATGTCCGAAAAGGCTGCGCACACCGTGAGTTTTGGAGGTCGTTCGGATACATGCCAGGTGTAGATTACCATCTCCGCCCCTCCCGCCATTTCAGGTGACTTTCATGGGATGTTAAGGACTGTTGGCTCGATGGAGTTCTTAATGGCTTTTTTGAATTGTGTTACACCATACCTGGACCAGGTTTATCTACAACCCATTTCTGAAAGTCTAAAATCCACCGGCCTTGCTCAAGAAGCAATTTTCTATTATAATTGTATTACTTTATGTGTGAACTGTGAGATCATCATTTTTTCTGGCTTTCTTGAATTTAAAGACCCTGAAAACCTATTTTCTCAATCAGGTTTCCGACTGTGTGTCATATACTCACACAATAACACAATATTTTCAGTTTTTGTCTTCTCACTGGTTTGAAGTGGGCAAGGCTCATTTGTTGTTCGGGCAATAGTTCTCCTTGTGGGCATTGCTTTCATACACAGATGTTTAGAGCGTGGAATTGTCCCTGTATTGAGAATTTAAACATGTAAAATACTGCGTAATTTACTGTACTCCTTTTCTTGTTTGCAAACTTTCACATACGGAAGAATATCCTAAAAAATAATAATTTCCGAGCAGCAGTCAGATTTTCTTGCCAAAAGATGTTGTACGAGACAAATTGCCCTCAGGGACAATAAAGACCTTCTCTGTCACAGGTGCTGACTTGAGCAGAAACATTATTTTTCGGGGACGCCCAACCATATCGCGGTCCACACTGTAAAATAGCTGATATGAGATGTATGGCTAAGATTTACGTCAGAATCTATCCTCCGGCTGAATGTGCTGTGTGAGGAGCCAGCTGGGAGGCTAAGTGACTGCCAGGCCTTTCACAACACTGCTATTGATCGGGCTGTGTTTGTTCATTGCTGATGTTCCTTTGAAATCTGCTGGGCTTTGTGTTTCACACAGGAAACCAGGAGGTGGGGGGACGATGGGGGGTGGGAGTGAGTTCCTTAGTCGTACCTGCTCCCGGAGTGTTACATAACAGTAGTGTGGTCTGTATGTCTTACAGTTTGACAGAGTAGCAGCTGGGGATAAGACTAAGAAGGGTCAATTCATGGGGAAAAAAACCTCACGTATCCTAATGATGTCTTGTGAAAAGTACATTTTTTGTGTTCCTAATGTCCAGCAACACAAGCAATCGGTGCAACTGTGCAAGCCCCTGCGGTGTTTCGGCAACAAAACTACTAAGTTAGGTTTTGGAAAAGATTGTGGTTGAGGTTCAAATTACTATGGAATTGGTGTTACCCCAGTAAAGAAGTTACGTGAATAACAAGTCAACACTACGTTGACTTCATGTTTCACACAGGACACAAACTGCGGTCTCCTGGGTGACAGTCTGGTGTTTTCAGAACCACCATCCACCCCGACCACCTCTCTTTGCAGACTTTATCACGCTTTGTACTACATTGCGTGCCCTTGCTCATGATGGATAACATACAAATTGATCACGTGGGATGTATATTAGGTATTACAGTGAATTATTTTTTGTAGGTGTAGCTATGAGCAGTGCGAGCTCCCTGGAAAAACACTTTGTTCAACCTTAATGTGGTGCAACTGTACCAAAATGCACAAAGCGGAAGACGGCAGTTGAATCATTAAAAGCAAACACCATCATGAGAAAGATCGTTTTTTGAACTTACAGTGCGACTTGACTCTGATGTGTTTGGAAGAAGAAAAACAGAACTTGCCGTCTTGATTGGCCCCGTCAACCTGCCAGAGACACGGAGCTCAGACACTTGCCAACCCAGAGCTGAGCATAGCTGGGTCACCAGTCTCAGGGCGTCATGAAACCGACAGAGAAGCCTACTGAGGAATAAATCGAAGGCCGGAGGCGAGCCAGGCTGTTTCAGCAGTCTGCGGAATAATCATTCGTTGGCCTTTAAGCCATTGCCAAGTGCTTTACCTATCTGTTTTTATTAAGTCTGAAACAAAAACATGGGAGCAAAAACATGATTTTAGTTAAGAACATGCTTTTTCTGTGTCAGTCATGCAAAATATGATTATTATTAGTTTGTAGGAGTTGTAACATTAGAGACGAGACAGTTGCTGAGCACCTCCTGCTATCTGTAAACACGGTTGCTTGCAGCTGCAACACTCAGTGAAATGCTGTGTAATGCCTGATGACAGTTGATGTTGGCCGTTTTAATGATGGCGACAGCTTCCACCACTAGAGGGCAACATTGCTGAGGGGATTCCTGTGATACTTTGGACCGTTATTGATCTACCAGCATTACAAAGTGCCCGTCAAGAGGTCAGAGTCTCTCTAGTAGATTCAACAAAACAAAACTCCCCTATGATCATGTGTGAATGACAGAGAAGCACATTCAATGTCATCCCTCATTGTGACGCTTGTAAAATGCATGTTAGTTTTATAGTTGGAGGTTTGAGTAAGTGTATGTAGCGCATGATAAAGATTCAAGTAAGAGTTTAATATGTGTTTCGCCTAATCTCTCTTTCTTCTGATTGTTGTCCCTCGGCAGGGTTTGACCTCGGGGGTCAAGTGGCCATCGGCTTCTCCCACTGGAAGAGTCCCTTCCCGGCTAGCGGCCAGAATCTCCCCAGTCCGGACTGCGTTCACTCCGAGGTTTCTGCCGTGCCGCCCATCAGCGAGCACCTGGAGCCGGTGTCCTGCCCGGCGCCGCTGTCAATCACCCCGCTGCCCACCTGCAGCGCAAGTCAGGAGACTCTCTGCGACAGCAGCACGAGTACGTAGAGTGCGGTACAGTGCATGTTTTAAACTACCAGCCCTCAGTTTACCGGAGCAGCAGATAGGAGCGCCCTTCACAGAGACAATATACTTTATACATGGGTGTTTGAAGAGTCTGGGGGTTGAACTAAGCAATGGAAAGAAGATATGAGATATATATATATCTCATATTGCAGTGAACTGGCTCACAGTTAATACAAAGGCAGGGAAAATACACAAAAAGATGAGGGTCCAAAATAAAAGAATTTATTACAAAATGTTATTTATAAAAAAAAGAATAAGAAGAACAATTAGTAACATCAGTGGTGTATAGGAGCGCCAGTGTGAGTGGAAAATAATGCAGGAAGATGCTGCATGCTAAAAGAAAAGACCAAACAAAGCAACCAAACCGGGAGACCATGTGGCAGTTGAGGAAAGCAGTGAGGCAGCGAGGCAGACTGAACTTTGTAGGCTTGCCAGCTCATCAGCACCAGGTGATCCAGCACAGAACTAACGACCTGCACAGCCAGCCCACTGCCTGCCAGGGGAGGAGGAAACACAAGCAGGCCGGGCAGAGCAGAGGCTCAGGAGGGGTCGTCACAATACTCACACAGAGTTATTGGTTGCCCTGGTAGCAGAGAGAGTGCTTCGGCAGAGGGTTTGTGTTGTTGAATATGTTTGTCCAGTCTGCTTGAGTAAGAATCTATGGCCCAGACCATGGCTGTGAATTATCAGTAGCGTCCTTCTACGAACACGATGAACAGATCGAACCAGGTCCGTCTCCCCTGTTGAAATGAACACAATCGCCTTCTGGCTGTGGTTGTTTCTCCTGTCCATAGAGTGCTGCAGTGATGATGTAAACCAACCCGGAAGTTTGGGTTGGTTTGTCGAAAAATGGGATTTTTCCATTGCATTTTGGATTATTGCAGAAAAACACAGCAAACGAACAAATGCTGATATTACCTACATGTTCTGTTCACTGAGATAACCTTGACAAAAGAACACTTTCATCATTATTTTAAGCATGAATGCAATCAGCAGAAATAAAAAGCTAATGTAAGGATATCAACGAACTACACCGCTGAGCCAAAGTCAGACTAGTGTTAGGTGAGGACGTTTTGTGGTCTCATTCAGCCACTTGTTAGCAACCGCCTTTTTAAAGACACGCAAAAGCTGCAAAATTCACTTAATACAGACCTGTGTGTGTGTGTGTGTGTGTGTGTGTGTGTGCCCGTGAGTCTCACACTGACACTGTCATCAGTCCCAACTGTCATTGTTTTGGGCAACAGCAACACTGACACATACTCTTTTTTCCGATTGGCCGCTGACAGAGCAGCTTAACCTCTGATTGGCTGCCAGGAGAGAACGATGAACGGCACCTCCTATCTCTCTCTCTCTCTCTCCCTCTCTCGCTCACTCTCTCTCTCTCTCTCTCTCTCTCTCTCTCTCTCTCTCTCTCTCACTGTAAACATCCTGCTCATGCTTGTGTTTTTCTCTCCAGAGAAGAGCTTTCGTTCGTAGCATCTGCACTGTGACAGATCCGTCTGTGTGGGGGTGCATGTGTGTGTATGTGTGTGTGTGTGTGTGTGTGTGTGTGTGTGTGTGTGTGTGTGTGTGCAGGGATGTCGGATCGACGGATGCGGCGATGAGGAGTGAGGAGTAAAAAAAGTGGGGATGCTGGTTTCCCCCCCGCGGGACGTCGTGTTTGTTTGTTTTCCTCAGCGAGGTCATTCGTGCGTCGGGGCTGGGGATGGGGAGGGAGGAGGGGTGACCGCCGTGTGTGTGTGTGTGTGCATGCGCGCCTGTGTGTGGATAAAATCCTCTGGCTGCTGCGGCTCTGGTGGGAAGCCACCCCCCCTCCCCCCTCCTCTCCCTCTCCCTCTCTTCCCCTCGGAGGGGTGAAGCTGCCTGTCTACCTCTCTGCACCTTCACATGGTGAGTGTCATCAAGTTGTCTTGAAGCCAAGGCAACTTGTTCACCAGAGTGGATGTTTTTGTTTTTTGTTTTTGCTGCAGTGCTCTCTTTAATGTGTTGCTGCTTCATCTCTTTTGCGCACTTTTCCCTGTGACCATGCAAGCATTTGACCTTCACACACACTCATTTTCTCTCCGAGCTGTCCCCCTTTCTCTTGATTGTGAATGTCAATTTTTTTTCATACACCCTACTTCCTCATCCTCCGTGCTGCATCAGTTGTAAGACACAGAAATGGGTCATGGCTCAGTTAGGAGTGTGTGTGTGTGTGTGTGTGTGTGTGTGTGTGTGTCGCGACGCAAAATCTCCACTGCTTGCCGTGCAGGGAGATCATGCACACCCTCTTCCGTCCACCCCTGAGGCATGATGGGAGCATCCAGATGGAACGAACGGTTTCCTCCTCACAAGTGACTGACACTTGATCCCCTCTGCAACACATCGCACACACCCACTACCTCTCATTCGCTCCTTTCCTCCAGCAATCTTTTATTCTCCTCTCAGTGTGAGCTGTCATCTCCAGGCTGAATTTGTTTTGCGCAAGGAGTGTTTGTTTTTTGTCTCATAAACTAAAGGGGCAAACAATAACAATGAATGGGGCTTTATTTATGATAAGCAAATCAAGTAGTTGTTCATAAAACCCACTTTGATGTGGCAATGGTCCCTTGTCTGCTATAGATTTTAGATATAATGTCTTGCAGCTTATATTGTGGTACTGCAGGCTAATTGTGTGAGTAATTAATAGCCAAACCAAATGTATGTTAAAGGTACACTCCACTGATTTAGTATCACACTTAAAGTGGGGTCCTTGTGAGAAGCAGATTTATTCATTTAGTTTTTTTAATAAAAAATGGTCAAAAGTATTGGTCAAGTTCTAAAAAACACTGGGTTCTACACTTCCCATAATCCAATTCTATGACGTCATCGAATGTACTTTTTTTGCAGGATTCTTCGAATGTCATGTTTTATTACGTTACCACCCTAAAAAGATGGAGAATATGGTTTGGTGTCATTGTGGTTACGTAAATGTGGTTTATGGTGCTGTTAGCCAGCCCCATTAGTACAGGTGCGTGCCTCGCTAGCAGTCTTTTCACTGCAGTGGAAATGTTATTTTTGAAAGGCTAAACGCTCAAAAATATGGATTGAAGCAGAATATTTCGTTAGATAAAATCAAGTTAATTTTGGAGATGATTACATCTATTTTTTTCAATACATTTTGACTTTTGGACTGAAGAATGTGACAATTACAGAGATGACAACTAAACCCTTAAATCAGAACGAGATTATATTTGTGATAAATATTGTGCAAGTGTGAAAGCAGCAATCTCAAACATCTCACAGTCTATTTTTTTTTATTTCCTGTAATGATTAGTGGCTTATACATATATAAATACTAGCTACAGCCTGAAAGTGAAATGTGAGTGTATGAAATGCTGATTATGTATCTGGCACATTGAAATAACAGGCTACTGCTGCACACATTCATTTCCATGAACTACTTGCTCCAAATACTACTTGTATCCAAACTATTAGGTTGAGGAATTAAAATTTTTGATATACGATACATAAAAGTACATATTTAGAACTGGGAATATCAGTTACCCTTAATCTAACATTACTGTAGCTATTGTTAGCTTTTCGTTAGCTGCCTAGGACTGTTCACCCACAGCTTGTAAGTTGTGTATATTGCCTGGTTTTGTAGTCACTAGGCATTTTGTAGGCACTTCCTGTTACTGAGTTCTGAAGAGAACAGTTATGTGTGCTGCCAAAAGCCTCAGCACCATGTGACCTCAATCGTGGCTTGGGTTACAGAAGTACCATAGGGCTGTTAAAGTTTGATGGATACATTGTTTGACTGGCCAATGTCTCGGCACAGCAGCATGATGTAGGTTGATATTTGATGTGTCAGTCCTTTGAGGGCCAATATTTATAGTAAGCAAAGTCTCTAACGAGGCCGGCGTTGGACCGCTGCGCAACTTTATCTCTTGATAAATTCTGCCCTGTCTGACCACTGCAGCTCCTGTTTAGATACCTAAACCCCAGCGCAGTGAATGGTTTACCACCACTGTGAGTAAAGGAGCAGGACGCTGAGCGCTGATATCTCCCCTGGTACGTGTTTCTATTCACCGCATCCATCGGCTCCAATGTTCCAAAGCATCAGCGGCTGATTAAAGAGCCGAGACGCTTCCCCAACCTCTATCTCTGTCCCCAGTTCTACGCGGCTCAGCAGAAAAATGTAGCTGAGTCACCATCGTGTCACAAATGAAAATCCAGCGCACGGACCTCCAAGACAGCCACCCACCTCTACTGAAGTCTTCCAACTCTCAAGAGGGACTGAGAGTAAGAGATACGGACATATTAAGATGGTTGATTTAAGCTGCTTTGCTAAGCTTTGAATAATTCCCCCCAAAAGCACACCGTCAACTTGACAAATAGACCCAATTAGCTTGTGTGTTCCCGTGGAGTGTGTCTTTTGAAGGTGTTTCAAGGTTAATCCTTCTTACAGAGATGAAAGTTACCGAGCTGTCATTTTCTTTTCCTTTTTTTTTGTGGGTCTTCCCGCTTTGACTTTCACACACCTTTTTCTCTCACAGTCTTACTCGCTCCTCCTGCTTCTTATTTTTTCACTCCAAACTTTTCTAATTTTGCCTTTAGACTACAACCCAGGAAAAAGAGTTTGCGGTAGTGTGATTGGTTTTCTAACCCGGTTTTCTGGACACGATTTGTCATTTACTGCTAATATGGACTTTGACCCTACATCTAGCTTTATCAGTTATACTGACATTTGACCACGAACAATCAATAATGACTGAAGCAATAACTTTATTTTTGTTAAAGCTTGTCTTACTAATATTTTTGGATGAGCTGTGGGTTAAATAACAATGTGCAAAGTCGAAGGTGCCACAATGATGATGAATACTAATGTTGCTCTGTGTCTACTTTGTTTAAAAAAAAGCAACTGTTTGCAAAATTTCTAAGACAAAAAAAATAGTCCATTCAACTGTCAAACTTTTAAAATGTTGCAAAGAAATAAAATACGAATCAAGTGCGTTCACATTGACTGGTTTTGATCAAATAAACTAGCTTGGTTTCATCAGACGTTTGCAGTATAGGCTACGCTTTATGCATGGCTGTAATCTACCAGTAAACGGAGTAGAAGGTTACGAGCTGGAAACAAAACAAGTCGCCTTGGCCATCTAACCAATCCACGAGAGAAAAATGGAAAAGAGGTCTTCAGCAATTTGTTGCAATTGGCCACGTTTGAATTGTTCTTACATGCCAGCTAGTATTTGCTGTAGTATATGTTGCATGTTGTCCAGAGACAAATACAATATTAATATATATATATATATATATATATACTGTAATGTTTGCTACGTCAGAACTTACTCGGCAAAATAGTTTCCATAATCCATTTAACTCTGAAAAAAGGAAAAAAAACATGTAATGCGAGGAAAAAAACATTTTGCGCAATTGAGGAAGTTGACGTTTCCATACATCTTTTTTAATGCTATACTTCAAAATGTGCATGCAATTATTGACAGAAACATGGCTAATGTTGTGTTTTCAGCCTTTCTGCTAGTTTGTGCGTTAAAGGGGTTTGAAAGTACATGTTTACTGCTAGCCAGTACATTAGTTGCTTTCAGAACTCACTGTGAGCTCTTTGTATTCTATTGTTATGTGTCTTTACGAGAAATGGATCGCACAAGGGTCAAGTAGTACCAGAGAGTTTCCAGTTAGAAAGGACCCCAAAACATGATGATAGAAAGTCGAATGAAAAAAAGTTCTTTGTGTTCCTGTAGGTGTGAGTTTTTCTCTACATGGGTCTGAGCCCCATCGGAGGAGCCCCCACCGCCGCAGAGTCCCGCCACAGCCCTCCGCCTCAGGCTACCAGGCAGCGGGCAGACCTCTTGCCTTCCCCTCTTGTGGGGAGGCAGACATCATGGAGGAGTCCTCGTCCAAAGCCGATGACTCCAGCACTCAGGACGATGTGCCTCCCCTCGGTGAGACCCAGCCTCACTAGGGCTCGAACTTTCTGTGCTCTTCTTGTACCTTGATTTGTTCAAATGTAACTATGGCGTGTAAGTGAGGGAAGTCGGGTCATGTCATGTCGTGGTACTGGGCAGCTTCCGGTGAAATGTGTTTGATGTGACTGCACATGTAAAGTGCCTTTGAGTACCTTTTAAAGCGCTAGACCAATAAAATGTATTATTAAGCAGCCAAAAAAAATGTTTCGCTCAGAAGTCGGTTGAGACCAAAATAGAGGTAAAGGGAGGGTGAATATTTGACCGGTGGCCACAAACATGACTGCAAATAGTTTCTAATGTTGCTCCGTGTCTGTTGTTAGGTATCTAAATATTCACTCAGCAGTCGGGCAACCCTGCAGCATTATTACTTACACTCTGCTAATCGTCCCTCCAGTTGTGAAGGATGTCAACGTGCTGCTTGAGAGAGAAAGGTCAGAGGGCATCAGCAGCCCATCCAGAGACGACGACTCCACCCTGTTCAACCAGGGAACCAACAGCAGCATCCTCGACGACAACACAAAGCCGGACTCTGGCGTCCGGGAGGTCAGTGGTGAAACTAGATCTCTGGACTCCATGAGGTCATTGCTCCTTTCCATCCATGATAAACGATGAATGAGAAGTCGTTTAAAACAAAGTAGTATACTCATCCTCTCAATGGATACTAATCGCTCCTGATTCTTTCTCTGTTTTTCTGTCTGTTAGGGGAGGAGTAAGTCCAGCGGCCTTTGCTTCAGCGATGGAAAGAGTCGCATTGACTACATCCTGGTTTACAGGAAGACCAGCTCGCAGTCAGAGAAGAGGGAGATATTTGAGCGGAACATCCGTGCGGAGGGCCTACAGATGGAAAAGGAGGTAAGGGAAGAACATTTACACTATGTTGACATGGGTTAAGCTAAATCCTCATGTCTCTCACACACACACACACACACACACACGCATGCTAAACAAACAAGGGATGTGGGGTCTTGGAGGACCAATCTGCATTCCTGTCTACTTTTTTTCTTGTGAAGTGCCATTCAGCAGACACAGAGCAATACTGGCATTTATTTGAAATCGTGTTTCTCGTCCCCTGAAGAATGTAAGTACTATATCCACTCATCTTTTCGAACATTTTTAGTCCGCACCAACTCTGAGCTGAAAGACACTAAAATGCATTGCAAAGCTCCACAGAGTTGGTTGAAAATTCTCAGTGGGTTCATCACTACAAGCAACACCTTTCACACCACGCATAATCATTTGATCCTTTGTTCATATAAAAAATATTGATTGTAGCCACTTTAAAATTCATAATTTGAACTGGCACAAGCCTCAGGTACAGTGGCATGTACTGTATGAGAGCATATTTATATCGGACAAGCTTGAACCAATTGCTGTGACATATTTACTTCATTAATGACTCAAATAAAAATGATTAATTTAACGTTTATTTAGCTGGTGGTGGTTAAGTGTCTTGCTCAAGGGCTCATCAGCGGGGCGGAATATATAATGAGGGGCCTCCACCTGAAGAGTGACCTTTCTAATCACATCAGGCCTCCATCTCTGCGCTGACGGAAAATATTTTTTGCTCTCACTGCCCAGTAAAGCTTTTATTTATTTTTTTTCTCTTTCTGGTCAAATTGCCGAGCAAAAAACAGCCACTTGTTCGGAAAAAAAACGGATGACCGCAAATAAAAACACAAAGCCTGGAAGGTTCACGTCGGACAGAGAATTGGCTTTGATGTGATTAACTCTGACAAACCTGCGTCTGCATTCATAGAGGGCAACATGAGCAACATCAATACCAATTTGTGTGAAGGAGCGATTTAATGCTCAGTCCTATAAAGCATGTAATCTCAATGGCCAGACCGCTGAATTTTAAAACGCTCCCAGCATTTTGTGCCCGGTCGTACAAGGTCTGACAGCAGAGTGCTGCTGTGGCGCTCGTTGGCCAACCGCCACTCGCAAAGATACAAATGTGCTGATGGCAATTTTCTCCTTGAGAGACTTGAATTTGAACAAGTGGAACATGTGGCTGTTGTGATCTGTGTGTGTGTGTGTGTGTGTGTATCAACTTCTGGAGTACCTGCCGATGCAGTAGCATCAAGGTCATCATTATCTCGAACATGCAGGGGAAAACAACGGTCCTTGTCTCCCTCAACAGCCGGCTTGTGTCTTGCGTGGAATTGTTTTTGTCATATTTGAGATAAGATCCTGATTCATGTACCGAGATTCTATTTTGTGGTCCTCTCTGGTTCAGCTATTTTACCTTCTTGTGTTTGGTTTCTTCCCAGGCCTCTTTGACAAACAGTGACGTGATTTTTCTGAAGCTTCATGCACCATGGGACGTCCTCTGTCGCTACGCAGAGCTCATGAACATTCGCATGCCCTTCAGGTGAGACAACAATCACTCATAGAATTGTCTTATAATGGAAGAAGAAAAAAAACTTAAAGGTGCCCTGCGGAGTTTTTTTTGTAAACAAATAAAAGTTATGTTAACCCTCACAATGGCTCACCTAAGGTCTAAAATCATGTCAAATACATTTCGTTCCTCATAGGATATTCACAAAGCTGACTATTTTTGAATGTTTTGAAAAATGAAGTGTTTACATCCAAGTTTGCTAACTTGTTTGCCTCTTTTTCATTGCTTGTCTTGGTGCATTGCTGCGCTTCTTTGCGTGTTACCGCCACCAGCTGTCAATCAGCGGACTAGCATGAAACCAGCGGCAGACGTGTATCTGTCACCTGTGTGCTTTTGCACAATACAAACAAAACAAGGGGCCCATTCATAGACATCATTGCTCCATGGTGCTACTAGTGGTCCAAGAACTCTACTGGCTACCTTTAATGTTTGATACTGTTAGTAATTTTTGTATATGTATTATTACCAGCAGTAGTAGTAGTGGTAAAAACATAGTACAATTTGTACTTGAAGAATGGTTAGAAGCAGTAATAGTAACGGTAGTATTGGTAGTAGTAGTAGTGAAAGTACCATTTATTTGTAGTATTGTCCTCCTCATTACTGAACTGCATTATCTTCTAAGTTAATCATTCCCCACGTCCTGCATATTCCAGGAGGAAAATCCTTTTCATGCACCGACGGCAGAAGTTCATGAGCAGGTGAGTGTTCAGTCAAAGGAAGCAGCACGAGATCGGCTGACGATGGCAGAAAGCTTTAACGGACAACTTCGCTTGCAGGATGGAGAAGCGCATCAACAAGTTTCGCGGCTGGCTGCCCCGCAAGCCCATGAAGTTTGACAACACTGCTCTGCCCGACCTGGAGGAGAACGAGAGCTTTACCGCCCCCTTCAGTCGATCAAGGATACACCAGTGAGTTTTTTTTATGAAACAGCTCTTTAGAAACTCATCCCAGAGAAATGCTTGAACTTTATCCAACAGTGGTGCCTGCAACATTTTTCTTCTTCTTCCGCTTTTGTACTTTTTTGCCACTTGATATTTTCTCTGTTGCTGTTCGCATACAAATTGACACTCTACACACACACACACACACATGAAGTATCATTCACAGCAGACAGATTTGTAATAACTGGTGTATTTCTCTGCAGTTTCATCATCCACAACAAAGACACTTTTTTCAGCAACGCTACCAGAAGTCGCATCGCTCACCACATCCTCCAGCGGGTCAAATATGAGGAGGGTAAAAATAAGATGGGTGAGTTTCCTGTTGGGCATTATGACAAATCCTAGAGCTGTTTGAAATGTGAGGACAATGGAAGTGATTTGAATCATTTCTATTTCCCCCTATATCTCAGGTTTTTACTACTTTGGTTTCTGATGTTCCCTGAAAATGTGTCTTTTTATCTTTTGGTTCAATAAAGGGCTCACTAATAATCTGTGCCTGCTGTGGCTGTCACTTTGAAAAAATGTTTAAGTTTCAATGAATTTGAATATTTTGTTCGAATTTATCCCAATGCAACCCATGTAGCCTAATCCTGAACTACTTTGTTGAATTGACATTGTTTCATTCATTCTCCTCCAATGCCTCACTTTAGTGACAAGCCAACATTACTGAGAGGGAGTTACATTCTTCAAAGTTTACAAAGGAAACGGCGTATAGCCGTTTCATCCATGATTTTTACCTTTGTGTAGTGCTGAATTCAAAATGGTTCCTCACAATAATAATGATTGTTGATGAACGTTCAGATCAGACTTCTGCTTCGCTTCACGCTTCTCTGTTTTTGATTCCAGGGCTTAATCGTCTTTTGAGCAATAGTTCATATGAGGCAGCGTTCCCTCTTCACGAGGTAATTTGGCTGATATCCATAAAATCATTCATTAATTACATTTTTGTCACTTTTTAAGTCATTACTTCTTTCTGTGTCTTGTGTGTGGTCCTGGATCCCATGTACTGATATCACGGAATAGACATACATACAGTACATACATGCACATAGATCACGTATCTGCGTGGTCGTGAACGTGTGTGTGTGTGTGTGTGTGTCTGGACTTTAACAGGGGAGCTACCACAGCAAAAACTCTATCAGAACGCACGGAGCAGAGAACCACCGGCACCTGCTGTACGAATGTTGGGCCTGGTGGGGGGTTTGGTACAAGTACCAACCACTGGACCTCATCAGGTAACTTTAAAGGGGTTTAAAGGTCACATTCAACATTTAAAACATCATCACAGGTAGTAGTAGTAGTACATAATCTCCCATATATAGGTTGAATCTGCTTTTTTTACCACAATCCGTATATTTTTATATGGATATTTGTTGTAAGTATTATGAAAGACACCCTGGAACTGGTTCCTCTTGTGCTCTGCTGTTGCAGGAGGTATTTTGGGGAGAAGATCGGTCTGTACTTCGCCTGGCTCGGCTGGTACACAGGGATGCTGTTTCCTGCAGCTCTGGTCGGCCTCTTGGTGTTCCTGTATGGCCTCTTCACTCTGGAGCACTGCCAGGTCAGGTAAACACACCTCCTCTCTTTTCTGATAAGATTAAGTGTCCCCAGAGTTGAATTGTATCTGAAGCATTCATAAAAATCTTTTTTAAAAGTTTCTACGGTAGAACAAGCCTTGGTCTATGCTGCAGATCAGATAGACTATTTATTAAGTGGAGAAGTCAGGTAACTTTACTTCATGGAAAACTAATTTGGTATTACAGATAAGGCAACGGAGTGTGAAATTGTCCCTTGTTATTTATTGTATTGGACGCCTGTTAAATGAAATAAAGGAAATTAAACTTATTCAGGATTCTCCGGTTGAAGTAAATGCTTAAGATGTAAATGCAAATGTGCTCAGTCATCTCTTTAAAAGAATGTGCAGTGCCGCAAAATAAAAGTGTGAACTAATTGTTTTTTTCTCAGACGAACAACATAACTTTTACAACTGAGATAAAAAACTTAAGAGAAATACGCACACACACACACACACGCACGCAGCGCTGTGCTTTGCCTGCATCTTTTCGAGAAAGCTCAACGTTGCATCAGTTTAGGGTTTCCACTGTGTTGCACTAATGTTGCTAGACATTGCGATACCAACTTAACCAGAGTTTGATAGGCTCCATGTTGTTCTCCAGTAAAGAAATCTGCCAGGCTACTGACATCATCATGTGCCCCATCTGTGACCAGTACTGCCCCTACCTGAGACTGTCAGACAGCTGTATCTACGCCAAGGTACTGTCACCACAGCAACGGGACGAAATACTCCCAACTGATGTTTGCACTTTGTAATTGTACTCGTGGAAGAGGTGTGATGAGCCAGCTAAATTTATCAGTATGTAACTTTTAGCCGAAATGATTCAGCAAATTAAGCACTGTACTGGGCTACTGTACAAACATGGTGGTGCAACGTGGCGGACTCCGTCAAGAGGACCTGCTCATTCACATGAACAGAGGAGGAACTCTGGATCAATGCATTTTACAACTTTTATGACATAATCATTTAATTAACTCCAATTTTCAGCGTTTGTACGGGAAAGTTGATTTACCTAAAAAAAAGAAATGATACGCTGATTTACAGATGTCTCTTTCCCGATGTAAGTCTATGGGAAGAGAGTATTTTTGGGCCACATGGCGTTACGTGACGGACCCGAAAGTTTGGCAACTTTGTCAAATTCGCTTCGAAGCCCGGCGCTCTTCTCGGGGGCTTGATGTGTTGTAGTTATGAAGGGATTATCCTAACCAAGCTAACCAAAACACAACAATACTTAGTTTCAGGTTATGCACTAAAAAACATTATTATGAATATCCATTCTGGCTAATAGATCACCCTAACTTTTACACACTGGACTTTGAACATCAGCAACATCCTCTTCCTATCTTCTTCTCAGGTCACCCATCTTTTTGACAATGGAGCAACTGTTTTCTTCGCTGTATTCATGGCTGTTTGGGGTAAGTCCAACAGTTCACATTTCTGTCCGAGCTTTTTTCCTCCCACAAAAACCCTAAAGATGTACTAATACCACATTTGTTGCCACTTTTGGGCAGTGCAATAAGCAGAAAACATTGACATTCTATAATCATTAGAAAGTTCACATGGCGTAACATGTTGCCTAGTTATGCACCCAGCAAACACATACCAACCATATCAATCATTGAGAGTTGTATTTCTATCCACCTGGTGACTGTAAATCCAATATTCACTCTCCTTGTTGCTCAGTTTCAGTCTTCGCTGCTGAGGGAAATCTGGCTGTAACTATGTTCACCAGCTGGTCCTTCATTCTGTCTGCTGTTCGGTGCTGGGCAGGGAGCTTAATATAGTGGCTTTATCACTGAAAACAGTCATTTGACCCATTGTTCACATAAAAATATTGATTAGTGCAGCTTTAACTTTTTTATTATTGAAATAAATATATCACAGGTCTCTAAAAAGTTGTATCACTACATTTTAAAAGTGACACACATTATTGCATTGCATGTAGATTGTACATTATTTTAAAAGGATGGATTCCCGGTATTCATTGTGAAGGCTTTTGGTAAACGCCAAGAGGATCAGGAAGCTGTCAGTGCTGAACAAGGTCCCAGGGTATGTGAGGTGCAAACAGAAAGTTTGTGATGGGCTCATATTCCTCAACCGCTGCAGACAGGACAGGTGATGAAGCAGCATCACCACATGGCTGATAGCTGGGCTGTTTATAAATGTCGAGGTGGAAACATGACGGGGCTGAGGGATAGAAAAGAAAGGAACAAAAAATCACTCCGCTGAAGAAAAAGATATTCAAAAGGAAATTTTTCGAAAATAGATTTCGACTATTGATATAGTTGAAGGCGTTTAGCCTTTCAAAAACAACATTTTCACTGCGGTCCAAAACGGTTTGCTCTCCAGCTTGACGCACACAAAGGGAGGTACGCACCTGTATAGACGGTCCAGTGTAGGAGGAGTCTAACAGCACCATGAGTTTAATTTATATAACCACAATAACGGCACAAAAAATAGGGTGATTACATCATAAAAATACAACATTCAAAGCTTCATTCGAAAACGTCAAGAGACGCTTGAATGTTAAAAGAAATGTCATTCCGTACGGCCCGAACGCCGTCTAAATATCATTTCATCTGAATGATATGGGTTCAAAATATGCTACAAAAGCAGACCCAGAAGCATGAAATAGTAGTTGCCATTGCAATAAACTTTCGCAGAAGAATTTTAAGTATAAAAAAGGTTTCTATTAAATACTGGCAACGAGTTAAAACAACTCACAACACTTTTAAAGTTTGTTTTTAAATGATCAACATTAAAATATTGTTGATTTGTAAAATCCGAATACCCAGCCTAAAATACCCCTTGATTCCAAAACAAGAAGAAGAACAAGCAGCAAATGACAGTAAACGCTCACCAATGAGTTTGTTAACAGTCTCTGGGTGTTTGAGGGCCTCTTGTACTCTGTTGTCGAATCTCCAACATCTCAGCATGAAGAACAGAGCTAAACACAGCTGCAGGGCAAAGGTCAACACGCCCAGCACGATTATGATCTTGTTAACTGTTGAGGGTAAAGAGGACAGAAGGGGTAGAAGATTTAAAGTGCTTTTATAGCTCAATGCAGAGGCGTGCCAGGACATTTCCCTTTTAACTAAAGGTGTGTGCAGTCATTGTTCTATAAAAGTAGTTTGTGCTTTTTAAACTTCACAAGCAATTGAGTTGCAGTGCCGTCAGACGCCTTGAAACATGTACAGGAGTTTAAATGCACTGGAGCCAAAAGAATAAAATAAAAAGCGATTTGTTTAATTCATAGACAGTAAGTGCTGTGGCTCTCCCATTACAGCATGCTCATAAAAGCAGTGCGGGCCCTGTTGCATTAGTGCGTGTTCGCACTAATGCAACAGACTTAGACATATTCAGACAATGTTCTCATCGCTTGTTCTATCGGCTTCACGAGTATAAATGTTTGATGGCGAATTGCAGATATAGCCGGACTAATGCTCAGTCTAAGCAAAGAGAAAAAAAAACGTAAAGCAAAACATTATAAAAGTTTGTTTCTAAATGTGAAGGCATTACCAAAAATAAAAAAAAGCATACAATATAGACAGACTAGATCTCCTTAGAATCATTTTCCATGTGCGACTTTCATTGGAGATGTTACAGTACCAGCTGGAGATAGGTGTGGTGTTGACTCCCAGTGGGTGACCTCTGGTTGAGTCAGGTTTTGGTTGTGGAGAAATGCCATCAGTCAGATCGTTCACTGCTCCAGCAGCGTCCCTGTGCAGCAGAGGCATTTGCTTGTATTTACTTTACAACCTGACAGTTAATGTCGCAGACTGTATAAGCACTGAACAGCAAGGCCGACCTTTTCACTGTGATGAAATACAAAATTGCGAAGAGCAAAATCCCTTTACTTAAGATCTCTAGTCTTGACAGTCTGCTTCTCTGTGTGTAAAGAGACTTGATTAGGATATTGTGTGAATCTAAATGACAGAAATTATGTGTGAGGGGGGGAAAAGAAAAATGATTCAGGGTATTAAAAGATTTTATTTTTTAAGTTAATCACGTCAGCATGATATAAAATTAGTTTCATGGAGTTAAAAGGCCAAATGTTGACTTATCTGATTCTCCTTCTTATCTTGTCCACAGACTCTACTGTCACCTCTGAGCGCTGTGCAAACGTACAGATTAAAAGTCATGCAGCCTGTTGAAATGCAAGGTTGAAAGGATCTACACTTGAAATAGTGTTCAATAGCGTCATAATATGTTTAATTCGTTGTAAAAGACTGTAGAAAACAGCTGGAGGAACATGTTATTTAGGGTCTAAAAAAAGAATACAGCGCCATACAATGTAGAGTAAAATATATACAAGACATTACACACAGGTCACACAAACTAATAATCTAACAAAAAACATAGCTAAATGATATGAAACTTTTGTACAGGGAACTCTATGAAGAGCAATGTGGAAGAGAGCTGCACGGACACGCCAGAGCCCAGTCTGGAAACAATTGAAAGTATTTATTGTGCGCTAATGTACTGACCTTACAATAACTGCCTCTTGGAAGCTGCTGCTGCTGCTGCTGCTGCTGCTGCTGCTGCTGCTGTCCAAGTGAATATCATTTTGGGGCTTGACTGCAGCAGAGAATCCACTCAAATCCCTTCATTAAGGCTCCTCAGAAGTGGGCTCCCCTGCTGGCTCCACACGGGGGAAGCGGTGCCCTTCCTCAGACAGCTGCGCCCACCCGTTCAAAACACGCTGCTCTGCTTTTCAACAGGGTCGTGGACGCGACAGAGAGAAATAAACTACGAGCTTTGTTTTGCTTCAGTGTTCAGTGGAGAGGCATGGTGTGTTTGTCTGCAATAAGTAAGCTATGCAGAGGACTTTGTTCAGCCATATCTAGCCTCCATGCCAGAACCTTGTGACTCTGCCTTCTCACCTAAAAGACACCACCGACTTCCGACATAAAAAGATCTCCAGGAGACGAACTTAACACCTTCTATGGACATTGTGTTGTGGAAGATTTCTATGTTAATCGGGAGAAGAGAGTTTTTGTTCACAAATCAATAATAGAGTCTTAAGAAGATTCAAAGTTGTCTTTTTCTCTTGCAAGAGGGAAGAAAACACAACAGCTACATATTCAGTAGACTGTGTGAATGCTTCAAAATATGTATCACACGAGCCCCTTTATCTATACAGTAACAAGTCATTTCTCAAAAGTGCAGCACCCACGAGGGCTCGTCTGCTGCATCCAGCTGACTTTTCACAGCTTCGATACATTCAAGGTAACATGAGGTGTTTCAACCAGCAGTTCTGATTACTGCTTAGTCTGCACTTTCTTTACTCCATGTAAGGAACAAGTTGTTCTTGCCACTACTTTTCCAGTAGCCATTTTCCTTAATATATGACGTACGTTTTCGTGTTCACATCAAGGACACAAAGTTCAAATGCATATTTTTACCATTACAACTGTAAGCCTCGACACAACTGTTCCTTACAAAGAATGTTTAGAAGCACTCACCCATTTATTTTTGGTTTATTTGAGAGTTGTTTTTTTGGTGGAACTCACCCAGCTTCACAAAAATTACTTTGAATTTCCAGATTATTTTTTATTTTTTTCATCAAGGCTGGGAAATAATGCCCACTGCTCCCTATATACAGGGATGGGTCAAATGCAGAGACAAATTTTGTGTATGTGTATATGTATATGACAATAAAAAGGGTTTCTTCTTCCTCTTCTGACGCCTCTTCTGGATCGTGGTTATATCTGGACCCTGGTCTTGCCTCCTGCCGTGGTCCTGCCTGACACACACTGACAAATATCATTATTATTTGTAGTCGCATTGGTTGTACCATATACCATTACTGCTTTTGTTCTCATTCTTATTCTACTATATCCACTGCTGCTGTTATTAATCGTCATTTTTTCCATCATTATTGTGCCTAATACTTTAATTATATGAATAATATATGTCATATGCATTGAATGTGTTGTAACTCTGTTATGTTGTTCATTCTGTACACATGACATCTGTTACACTTCTGAGGCAAATTTGTGATTTTGGGCTATACATTAAATTAAATTAAATTAAATTTTCATCATGTGTTTCAGCAACAGTCTTCCTGGAGTTTTGGAAGAGGCGCAGGGCTGTCCTCGCATACGACTGGGACCTCATCGACTGGGAGGAAGAGGAGGTGAAGCACTTCCTTGTATTTCTGCATCTGTGGTGAATCTGATTACAGATTAAGTGAGATGTGGTGAGAGGACATCTAATAAAAAGTGAAAAGCAAAGTTGCTGCCCTTATTTTTCATTCAGAGTTTTTTCTTCGTAGTTTAATTTAGCTAACCCGTTTCTCTTTTGGCTTTTCCCAAAGAGGTTTCATACCACGGAGACAATATTTCTTACCCTGGAGAAATGCTTGCCTGCTCATGCCTTTTTCCAGTATATGCTAGTTTAGGTGGGACTGAGAGCCAATGGAGTCCGTCTCAAATCAATCCATGACTCCCTGGAAATGTACCTCTACAAAGCCGTCATGCTGCAATTTGGGTTTTGTCAGAACTTTTAGTGGGTTTATAATGTGCCTGCCTGTCCTGTGGATCAACCTCCAACCCTCTTCTGTCAATCAAACTCAAACTGGTTAAACGCGTTCTTTGAAAGGCTGCTGTTCGTGGGCGTGAAAGTGACTCAGTCTGCTTTGTACAGAAAATAATAATGCTTAATTTTACTCACGCATGTCTTGGTCCTTTTGTCTTTCAGGATGAGCTACGCCCCCAGTTTGAGGCCAAATACTCCAAGAAGGAGAGGACGAACCCCATATCTGGAAAGCCTGAACCTCACCAGGCTTTCAGCGACAAATACAGTCGCCTCATCATCTCAGCGTCCGGGATCTTCTTCATGGTGAGTGTCTGGGGTAAATGCACATCAAATAGCAGGCGTGCCGCTCTCATCCCTGTATGTATCCTGTCTTAGAGAACTATTTATGTCAATTTAAAGTCTTGTCCCCGGCATTTCACTGCGTGTCGCTATGATGTCGCAGATTCTGGTGGTGATTGCCGCCGTGTTTGGCATCGTCATATACCGCGTCATCACCGTCAGCACCTTCGCCGCCTTCGACTGGGCCCTCATCAGGAACAACTCTCAGGTGGCGACCACCGGAACGGCAGTGTGCATCAACTTCTGCATGATCATGCTCCTCAATGTGGTGAGTGTGAAGCGGTACATAAAAACAGCGGTGATGATCATGACGTCATCGCAACCCAGACACAAGAATAGTGTTTCTTTGTTGTTAAGTTTACGATCTATTTAACTCCCTCCCTCAGTAATGGGTGACACCATTGTGTTTTCTTCTAGCTCTATGAGAAGGTTGCTCTTCTCCTCACTAATTTAGGTAAGTTGTCTGCACCAGCAGATCGAATGTTCTTGAAGCTGAAGGGGCGATGCAGACTTATTAATTACTACAGTACATTAGTGTTGGCTCCGTACTGAACATACAGTGTTTTTATCAGTTTATCAGTTTCTCTTCGTGCCACCACAGAACAGCCAAGGACAGAGTCAGAGTGGGAGAACAGCTTTACCCTCAAGATGTTCCTTTTTCAGTTCGTCAACCTCAACAGTTCAACTTTCTACATCGCCTTCTTCTTGGGAAGGTGAGAAAAGTCCTGCAGGACTCGAAAAACATACAGTTTAAACCAGTGCAAACGGTTGCGGTGTGTAATACTCGTGAGCGGGATTTCACTGCTCTGGAAAGTCATGTGCTTATGAAAACATTTATTCCCTGACAAAACGTACATACTATGTCTTCGGATGAAACAGAAATGGAGACGTGTGTGTCATCTGAGTAACGAGACCCCCAAGTAAACCCCCACCAAGAGGTTTACGGCTTTGAGCATTATTCTAATAGACAATAAGAGCTGATCAGGGATATGTTTGGCCCAAAGTCTTTTCTACTGTTTGATATTTTTGTGATGCTGTATTTTTCAACAGGGCTTTTGGTTTTATCAGTATAACATGATTAAAACTGATAAAAGGTTTGATACCAAACACATCTCATTGGCCACTGCAAAGTTGCCTGATATTAACGCTGCCACCTGACATAAGAAAGTTGTTGTTTTTTTCCCCTGGGTTGACAGATTTACAGGCCGACCCGGTGCTTATCTACGCCTCATCAATCGCTGGAAACTGGAAGAAGTGAGTAATTACCTTGCTTTCCCATACGGGAATAACAGCAAAGCTGTATGGATCTAAGTATTTCCAAAATGGACATCAAGCTATTATTGTATGCCCAACCCCCGGGCGTTTAACCTCCCTCAGCAGTTAGCGTTGCTGCCAGCTTATGGGAACATGCAGGGAAATAACACTCACTGAGGCAGTCTTAGGGGACAAAAGGCCTGAGTTGGTGCTTTTATGTGCTGAGCTAATGTGTTCCCAGTAGGTCCCATGGCTGCTGAAATGGAAATGGACAAATTATCTTAATTGTGACATGTACAGTACAAGTGTCAGCCGTCTGTGGCTGCTTGCAGAAATTGGTGGCTTTTATGAACAATTGCAAAGCTGATAAATGTTGCAGGGGATAATCTTAAAGTTGTTCTCCAACAAAACATTTTGCTCATAAATGTATATGGGTGTCGCAGACCTGTGCTGTGTGATTTGTTTGCTTTTGTAATGTACCTCTGTGCTGTACAGCACGAGGCTTTTAAATAATGCTGGAAGGAAGAAATTACAACAACACATGAAGTAAAAACAACAGTTTTTGCAAGTATCCCTAATCAGGATTGTAAAACAACTCCATTTGAAACTGGACTACAAGATACACTTTGAAATCCATGGAATAAGGGAAGATGGTAACAATAACCAATATATTACCAGCACAATGAGTTTTGAACAAACTAATTCTAAGAAGGTTCTATGAGTATGTAGTTTACTCACATCAGAAAAAAACAACATCATTACATTTACTTAAATAAGCCTACTAAATAATTCGATTTTTTAGTGTTTTGTTGATGGACACTATTCTCCCACAATGCAATGCACCAGAGGAAATGGAGAAGCTGCTAACAGCTGCAAAATGTTGAAGCAAATACCGTGCGTGTCCCATACAATTCCATATGACATGTTAATTGTATACAGTTTGAACTCAAGACAAATCTTTACAGCAGGGGTATTCAATTGACATTATGAAAGAGGCAGAGTACCACATTGTTACCATTACGGGTACCAGCAAGCATGGACACCTAGACAATCCTATCCGTCAAATGCTACACAGGGTCGGTCTTGCGAAGAAATGCAACGCTGACAGGACATCTCAAACTGTTAACAAGGTCAGCTGTGATTTGCTCTTCCATTTCCTCTGTGCAATGCACTGTGGGAGAATAAGGCGTAACAACAGCACACTCAAAAGTATTTTTAGAACGCATACTCACTTTTTGAGTATACCTAATTTCGTCACTTTTCTAGTGTTGCATACTGCATGCAAATCTGAGTCAGAGTGAGCTGTGCTTACAAAACCTGACACAGGAATGACGAGTCTTTCTACAGCAATGCCGAGTGCCATTGTACGCCATTGCTACAGTTTGATTTGACCCCCTCTCTCTCTCTCTCTCTCTCTCTCTCTCTCTCTCTCTCTC